GGAGGGGAACACCTGCAGCCAGTCAAGAGACTACCTAACTATTAATGAACTGGCCACCAGCAAACAGACAGGTAGCAAGCTGCAGGCAGACCTGCCCTCAGAGGGTAACTTCCTTGGGGAGAAGAAGCAGAGTAGCAAATTGTACCCAGACAGACAGGTAAGGGCCCAGAAGCAAAGGACGGCTGGCTACTGAGCTAAGCCCTCACCGAGAAAGCAGGCAGGTCAGACACAAGAAGGGAATGCGCCTTTTGGAAGCTGCAGAGTCGCATGACTGGTCAGGGCAGGGCTCAGCAGGTGCATAAAGCCAGTGCTTGAGAGCAGGCAAACAGCCTGGCCCTGCAAGCTACTATGCATGGAAGAAGCTGTGGACCAGGAAGTCTACAAGGGAGTGCATGGCTGGCTGCTTTGGAGCCATCAGTAATGCTCTGAGGACTTGCAGCGAGGGGAAGCTACCCAGAGTAAGGAAAGCTTTGTTCATAGAGCCAGCAAGCTGGGGGTTATGCTAAGAGTCAGTGAGGGGGACTGTTCTGGGTTACAGCCCAAGGGCTTTTAGTTTAGTTACTGCTGGAAGGCTTGCCTTTTGAATATATTTAGATGTTGGTTTGGGCTTCAAACTATTGGGGAGGTGGAGATTCCAGCTGTGCCTGAGGGGCACATGACTGTTGTGAGCCCAGCCAGCAAGAGTAGTGAAGAAAGGGCCAAGGGTCCAGTGGCCAAATAGGGTGAGAACTAGGGCCAGGGACCTGTAGCCCGAAAGGCATGAAAACCAGGGATCAGGGACCTGCAGCTCAAGAACAAAACAAGTGCCCAACAGGGGTGAGAACTAGGGTCAGGGGCCTGTAGCCCAAGAGGGGCAAACTCATAGCCTGAGAGGGGCAAGAACCATAGCCCAGGAAGGAAGAGATCAGTCGTCCAGCTGCTCAGAAGGGCAAATTCTGGGGCCAGGGGCCCACAGCTAGAGAAAAGGGCTAGAGGCTCAGAGAGCCCACCAACTGACAGGGCTGAAGGCAAGAAGGCTGGACCTGAATCACTGGGCCAGGGCTGAAGGCTTGCAGCCAGAGAAAAGGTGGAGGCTTCTACAAGGGACAGAATGGTATTGAGTAAAACCTACAAGGCTTGGGCACAGCTGTAGCAGAGGTTTCATAGTAGCTAGGGTCAGGAGGGACCCGAACAGATCATCTAGCCTGACCCCCTGCC